TGGGTGGACTGTTAACGTTAATGAAGTCTTTTGGGTCCACCCAGGGGTCGGGGCTGGTTGCCAGGAACACAAACCATGTGATGAGAGGGTGGGAAATCTCAGCCCCCAACCCCTGATGACAGATTCCACACTTGGGGAATCCGAACACTTCCACATGCTGCTGAGCCAGGCCACCGGGACAGAGAAGCTCCTTTATTTGGGCTCTTGCCCTATGCATCTCTTCATCTGGCTGTTAACTTGTATCCTTTATAATATCCTCTATTAAACTGCTAAGCCTAAGTGTTTTCCTGAGTTCTGTGAGCCACTCTAACAAATGAATCGAACCTAAGAGGCAGCTGTTGGAACCGCCAATCTCTCACTGTTGGTCAGATGCACAGGGAACAGCCTGGGGCTTACCACTGGCATCTGGAGTTGGCGGGTGGAGGGCAGCCTTGCAGGATGCAGCCCTTCACCTGGGGATCGGGTGTTGTCTCTGGGCAGATAGCATCAGAATTGAGTTGAATTCTCGGACACCCTGCTGATGTTTGAGAATTGCTTGGTGCTGTGTAGGAGGACCCCCCCACCCACTCACCCCCCGACACACATATTGGAGTTGGGTCTGGAAATCCCAGAAGGAGCTTCCTTCTTGAAAAGCTCACCTCCTTTGGCTTTTGTACCCTCACCCTCTCCTGGTTTGCTGCCTGCTTTCTCAGTGTTCCTTCTGAGTACCCAACATCCCTTTATCCTCTCATCCTAGGCCCCCTCCTCATGCTACCTTCTTCCCTATTTTTCTCTCTCAAAACCCTCTACCAGAGGGATTTCATTCATTCCCATGGCTTTGTAATTAATAAGTTGATGACTTCAAAGCCCTTAGCTCTCTCCTGGACTTTCAACCAACAAGCAACTGGACAGCCCCTCAAACCCAGAATACCCCATGCGGAGCCCAGCACCACCCCATCTAACTTCGCTGCTCCTCCTGGGTTCTCTGAATCAATCAATGGCAGCAGCATTAATTCATTGTCCTACTCAGAAACCTAGCATCATCCTTGAGTCCCCTTTCTTCTGCATCCTCCACATCCGTCTCTCGGCTCTATCACCCATTTCCTTGCTAACTCTGGACTTTGCCCCGCTTTATTCACCTGCATCACCATGTCTTTAGTTTATGACATCACCCCCTCGTCTGGATAATTGCAGCAAATTCCTAACAAGTGTCCTTGCTCCTCACTGTTCCTTCTCTTGCCTTTGCTTCCTTATAGACAAAGTACTGAAGTGAGTTCTTGGTCACATCTCTTCCCTCCATGGAACCATTCAATGAATCCCCAGTGGCTCAAAGAAGAACATCCAGATTTCTAAGGCAGGGGTTGCCTAAGTGTTGCATCTGGCCCACCACATGTTTTTGTACAGCTCAAAGGTTAAGAGTAGTATTTATATGTTTAAATTTTGAAAAAATCAAAGAATGTGACATGTGGAAATCACATGAAATTTATCCAAAATATACAAAAAAAAAAACCTCTTAAAACTCAGCAAGAAAACAATGAAATTTAAAAGTGGGCAAAAGATCTTAATCCCACCAAAGATATGCAGATGGCAAATAAACATATAAAAAGATGCTTAACATCATATGCTATTAGGGAATTGCTAAGACAGCAATGAGATACTACTACCTGCCTAACAGAATGCCTAAAATTCAAAACTGACAACACCAAATGCTACTGAGGAGGTGGAGTAACAGGAACTGTCATTCATTGCTGGTGGGAATGCAAGATGGTATAGATACTTTGGAAGACAAGTTGGTAGTTTCTTACAAAATGGAACATATTCTTACCATCTGATCCAGTAATTGTGCATCTTGGAATTTATCCGAGTGAGTTGAAAACACATCCACATAAAAATCTGCACATGAATGTTTATGGCAGCTTTACCCTCTCTAATTTGGGGGTGCCTCATGCAATCAGGTGAAGGCCTTACGAGAAAAGATTGAGGTTCCTTAAGGAAGGTGTTCAGTGTCCGGACTGCCTTCAGGCTTGAGTCTGCAATACTGATTTTCCCCCGGGTTTCCAGCAGGCCGGCATGCCCCCAAAATATGGGGTTTGCCGGCGCCCACAATCGCATGAGCTAATTCCTTAAAATAAATCTCTCTCTCTCTGTGTTTATAGACATCCTATCGGGTTTGTTTCTCTGGAGACTCAAATGCAGCTCTCTATCTCTTGGTGAAGATTGCAGATTTAAACACACTATTTTGGATGAAGACAAGATTTGGATGAAGATGTTTTTACTTGGAAAACTCTTTACGAAGCGACCCGTGATTGCCATTCTTCTGGTTTTGTGGTTATGATTTTCAATTTGTGCTGAAGTGAAACATTCCTCCTCAGTTTAGATAAGCGTTACGCCAGCGGGAAGAGTAGGGAGACTTCCGGCGTTCGAATGCTTGCTGGAATCGGGTTCTGTTGGAAATCGCCCCCTTGGGCTCCGCAAGAAGCATGAACACTTGGCACCACTGCTCACTGCAAATAGGTGGTAATAGTCTGAAAAGTTCTCCTTGGAAATCTAAATTACGAGGACCAGTCTTTAGCCAATGGAAACTTTAAGCATAAGAAACACTAAGAAATGGGTCATCAAAGGGCTGTTTCCTTTGATGTGCTGGCTTGCTTAGTTCTGCTTACTAAGGTTTATTTTGCTTTTAAAATGGTTTGTTACTGTTTCACAAATAGTATAACAGCAATGTGGGAATTTTGTTTTAAAGAGAAAAATTTACTTAGAACCTCACTACCCTAGAAACTTATTTTGTTGGGTTTTTCAAGAATATAGGCCCAAGGAAAGGCCAACGGAGTCTTTGGAATCAAGGGCAGAAGGCTTCTGGAGAAGAGGAAACCACACAGAATCTAGAGGGGAACAATTGTCTTTGGGGAAATGTAATTTACATGCTTTTACTCTTACAGCAGACAGAGGCACTGAAAAAGCATATTCCCACCATTTGGAAAACCACTGAGGCTGTTTGGTCTTTCAGAACAGCTGTCTCACTGAATTCTCCCCCAGGCGCAACTAGCTACTGCCCATTTCTCTTTCTGTCTTTTAAAGCCCCAGCATAGGGGGATTTGGCAACCAGAACAAGACTGAGCACGAGGGACACAGGAAATGGCCTGTGGCTGGACTGGTGTCTGAATGCAGCTGAATGGGGACACGCACCCCGGCCTTAGCAAGGAAGCAGCTGTCATTCAAAGTGCTCTGCTCAATGTTGCCAGCTTGTTTCCCTATTCAGAGTGTCTTGCCTGTCTTAGAAGGTAACACTAACGGTGGGACACAGTACAACTCTGTCTTAACCTTGTAGTTTGGGTGGTTCTTTAGAAAGAGGGAGAAGTGGGAAGTAAACTAGCGCTTATTTACTGTATCCTACACTATGCCGGACACATCGTAGACTGCATTGGAGAATCGCTTCTAAGTGATTCATACTGCCTGGGTGTGAGCCACACTAGTTGTGTGGCTCTGGGTATGTCACTTAATTTCTCTATGCCCTCATTTTCCTTCTGTAACAATAACAATAGTAATACACACAAAATTACTATGAGGATTAAATTATTGTGTATGAGGCACTTAGAACAGTGCCAAGAACAAAGTATGTGTTGTGGACATGTGTGCTGTTATTATCATTATCAAATTAACTTTTTAGCATGTAGTCCTGCTTATCCTTTTACAGTTGAGGAAACAGGCTCATGGAGATGAAGTCAATCACTGGGTATGGCAGAGCCTGCAACCCAACTCAGATTTATCTGACTGCAGTGTTTTCTTCTTAGAACATGACTGGGCCTGCTCAATGCTATCCAATTTCCTCTCCTGCTTGCCAGTTTCGGGTTCAGTTTATTAGCCTTTGTACTGACAAGGGTGAAATTCTGTATGGCTTAGGCGCTGTCCCCCATTCCACCCATACCTGGTAAAAGGCTAGTGGTCAGAGAGCAGGGGAGTGGGTGGGCGAGGCTTCTCTCCCACATTCACATCCTGTAGTCCTAAAGGGCCCTTCTGATGTTTGCTTCCTTTGACTTCCCCTAAGCAGGGCTGACCATGACTAAATAAAAGAAATGCTCTCATGAGCAGGCCCCATATCAGACTGGTGAATTTAGGGGTGCAGTTGGCATAGGGCAGTGCTGTCCAACAGAATATAACACGAGCCATATCTGTAATGGCAATTTTTCTAAGAGGTGCATTGAAAAAACAAAGGCGAAATTCATTTTAATATTTAACCTAATATATCCAAAATATGACCATTTCAACCTAGAACCAACATAAAAATTGAGATATTTACATATATTATTTGTGTTAAGTGTTAAATCTATCGCGTGTTTTATACCTACAGCCTTAGAGCTATATACCACCGGTACAACAGGTAGGTACCAGGGGGACACAAGGATACGGTCCGCCAAGGGCCTTCTTCGTTCAGTTAGCGACTTCATACGTCTAAAGCTCTCCCCTGCTCCCCTTTTCTTCCTCCTCGAAGATTCTCTGATGGAAAAAAATGGTTGAAGCAGTGAAGAAGTCCCTCCCTCTCCCATCATCACGCAGCTTTTGCGGGCAGTTGGGATTTCTTGTGTGGTCGCAGAGGGTCTGTGCCAATCTGCACGCTTTGTACTTCTCAGCGGGGTCAGGCGCGATGATGGGGGACAACATATCAGGTTCTAGCAGGACTCAGGCCTCTCCCGGACCCTGACAAAGCCCTTGCCAGTGACTTGCGCCCATAGGGACGGCACGGCCTCTACTGACGACAGCACCCCCGGAGGGGAGAGCAGCCCGACGTGCCAAGCAGACACTTGGCAGGCCTCAGATTTCCTGGACCGGATGGCCGGCCAGTGCCCGGAGGTCCGCACGGCAAGGCCGGCACAGGATGCACGGCCGGGCCTATGCGTCCCGGCATCCGCCCGCGCGCGCGGCGCAGCTGCCGCAGATCCGCCAGGCGACCGCCTCCTCCCGGGCCTGGCAACGGCGCGAGTCTCCCCGCTCCGGCCCGCGTCCGCCGCCAGCAGGGGCCACAGGGCGGAGTCGCCCCCCGGTCATCCGAGACGCCCCACGTGGGCGCGGGACGGACGGAGAAAAGGCAGAGGCGGGAGGCAGGAGGGTGAGCGGGGAGAGCAGAGGAGCGGAGCAGAGGACAGAAAGCTCCCGAAGGCCGCGCGGAGACAGAGCGCGAGCAGAAGCAAGAATATAGGGGACCTGAGGCCTTCAGTGCGGAACAGGTGACGCGGGCAGGTGAACAGAAGGAGAGAAGCGCCGGCTAGAGAGAGTGCGGAGAGGGCGAGAGGCGGGCGTGAGGAAGCCGCTGCGGACAGCGAACGAGGTACAATATTTAAAAAGCAGAGAAGGAACGATTCTAGGGTGAGCAGAAGTGAGGGGCTTTCAAGGAGGGGCGGGGAAGGGACGGCTGCGGCAGCGCCTTTAAGGTTGCCAAGGCGACAGCTCCGGCCAGAACGAGGCGCATTGACGTCAGCAGCCGAGCGCTGATTGGTTACAGCCGGGTCGTTTCCGGTGGAGTCGCCGCGCAGCCGTTATCGCCGAGTGGAGACGAGCTTGGAGGGACGCGTTCAGAGCTCAGCAAGCCGCAGCCTCGCACCCACAGGCCCCTGCCCTCCGTCGCCCATCCCTAGGTGAGTGGGGTTGGCGTGGAGTCCCGGCGGCGCGAGTTTCGCCCTCCCGCTGCCCGTTTGGGGGCGCCGGACCGATCCAAAATGGCGTCGCTGGGAGCGACCTGCAGGGGGACGGCCGCACCCCCTGCCCCTCCCCGGCCCCGGCGGGCGCCTCCGCGCAGACCCTGCGCCCCAGGCCGCGCCCCCGGGCCTGAGCGTGCACCTCCGAGGCCCCCGGCCGTCGCCGATGTCTCTCGGCCGGGGCTGGTAGCCGCGGCGTCGCGCGCCCCCTTGTCCCGCCCGCGTCCCTCCGCGGCCCCGCCGCCTCCGCCTCCGCGCGCCGCGGCCTCCTCGCCCGCCCGCCCCCGTTTCCTGAAGGGCAGGAGCTCGGTTCTCCCAGCATCTGCCGTCGTTTTCACCAGTGTTTCTGGCGGATGTTAAGATCCGGCAGTTTTCATTTCGCTTGCCGCTCTCCTGGTCGTCTCCAGCAGTCCGAGTTCCATTTCTTCCTGATTGCTCTCCCCTCCCGCAACGATGGTCTTAGGCTGGCCCCTAAATGTCCTTCTGTTCCCGCCACCACCTTTCCTTTCCCGGTCTTCACCTCCTCCCCACCCGCCACCCGCCACCCGCCACCCGCGAGGTCTTCTCGTCACCGTTAACGCCTTCCGACTAGAGCGGGATGAAGGGTTGTCTTCTCTTCTGAATTCTGTGGCCATGACTCTGGGCTAAGTGAAGTGAAGGGCACTTTCCTGTCCTTCCTGTTGAAAATACGTACGCGGCACCTTTTAACCCCCCCAGCCCGGTGCAGGTGTGATGCCACATGACTTACCTACTTGGGACATTGCCAAGCGAGTTGGTCTTTTCAGCAGAGAAAAGAAAGATAATTACTTCCTCAAGATGACCCCAATGAAGTGTTCGGAGGGGCTGCGATCTGAATCAGCAAGTTTCTCAAAGCGTTTTAAATATTTTCTCAAACTTAATCCTTTTGAAACTGAATTTTAACACAATTTACAGAAGAAGGATTTTGACTGTTGTCATGAATAGACAGTGTAGTGAAAGTCTTAAAGTAGTTAATTTTTGGTGGGGAGAAGATAAATTAATTGCGGGGCTTTTAAAACTAAGTACAGAGTCAGTCTAGATATACGCGATAAATACTAAGACCATGAAATTTGGATATGCAAGGGTTCACATGGTGACTGCATTAACCTTAGGGCGTTTTTGTGGATGTGGCATCTTTTTGGTCTTTTTTAATAACATTACTTTCTTTCAACCAAAAACCAGTTTTACCTCTTAGACCCCCAGTACTCTCATTCCTACCAGCCAAAGACCTGATCTGTCAAGAACTTCTCTGATCAATTGAATGCATACACTGATATTCCTGAAATACTTCTGAACTTTGTGAAGCCTGTAAGATCTGACTTATCATTGTTCTTGTGGACTTTGGTATTGAAATGCAGAAAATTCTACAGTGGCTGGTATAAATCTATCCTAAAGTAAATGATTTTTTTAAAATACTGTTTCTGAAGTAGCAGCATGATTCTTTTTCTGTGGCTTCTGATTTATGTACTTGTCAGGGAGCTACAAACATGCTCATGGTCTGAATTTGTCTACTCAGTTATTGACCTTTATTGTGAAAGTTGTCAGAACAAAATGAGGGCCAAAGAGCACTTGTAGCTTTTTACTCTGGTGTTTCTTTCCCTTTTTGAACTTATGAGTTTGGTCTCAGTAGTTTTTGTGCATTTGGAAAAGATCTAGTAGTATTGAATTCGGTTGCATACTGAAGGAGATCTCGCTTTTATTTTCTAATCTTAATTGCTTAGTAAATAGGAGTTGGAAAACAGTTTGTGACTCTGTTGTTAGTAAACAATACCAGGGTAAGGTTAGGTGCTCACTGTATTTCTATGTGTTTTACTTCACATTCAAGGTAGTTTGAGCCCTCTGTAATTCACTAAATGCAGTTTATCTGCTTGATCTTCACATAGGTTTAAAACTTAACATATTTTAACATTTTTCTGTCCAAATGAAGAAAATGTTCTGACATTTCCTGTTCACATTTTTTGTCATTTGGTTGATAAGGTATTTTGTTTTTTGTTTTTTGTTTTTTCTATAAAGGTTGTTCCCTTTTACCAGCGGGCAAGTGTGTTATCATTTAGGGCTGAAATCTGGTAAAAGACTCGGGAATAAAAGGTTGCTTTTAAAACTCATCTGGGATTTCTCAAAACTCATCTGGCATTTCCTTTGTGTTTTTAAAAATTTTGGTTACACTCCTAGTTGGCTAATCAGATTCTTCGCTCCAGGGGTTTGATTGGTGATATTAGGACACTCCCCTGGGATAGGAGTTATCGATAGGGAATGTCAGTTGTTCTTCATTGTGCTTGCTTGCTTTCATTTGAGCCACTTATGTGCCCTTGTAATTCTGTGTCCTGTTTACCATTTACACACTGCGCACGACACTATGATGTCTTTTGCAGGGGGAGAACTGAATGGAAGTCCCTCAAGGGCCCAACTCCTCAGTAGCCCGCCTCGGTGGCAGGGGATAGTGGCTCATGCTTCCTCCCAGGAGCTGAGGTTAATGCGTCTTCTGTTGCTGCCTGCAGAGCCTAGATCCTGCAGCAGGAACAAAAATGAAATACTAATTTGGAAGAAGGCTATTTTTTTACATACTTGATTCCCCTACCTTCCTGTTAAAAAAAAAATCCACTTAAAAAAATTTCTTGTCAATATATTGCCTAATGAATTTATTAAGTCAAAGGCCAAATTGGCATCGGTTCCTTGTAAATACTTTACACAAGCTTGTGTGTATTTTTCCTCACAGAGAACCATGGCGTCTGGCAGCACTGCCGCTAGTGAGGAGGAGCGCAGCCTCCGGGAATGTGAGCTCTACGTCCAGAAGCACAACATCCAGGCTCTGCTCAAGGACTCTATTGTGCAGCTGTGCACTGCTCGACCCGAGAGACCTATGGCATTCCTCAGGGAATATTTTGAGAGGTTGGAGAAGGTAAAAATAAATGTGGGGAGGTGATGAGATGATCCTGTCAGGTATTAGCTGTAATGCTGTAAACTGTCGCTAATTTGTGTTTCGGAAGAAAAGGAATTCTGACCAAATAAGTCTAAAATATAATTTCAAGAAAGAAATGGGTTAAGGCATTTGTAGTAATTTTTAACTTTATGATCACTAGAATTCATCAAAACATCCTATGCTAAATTTATTTCGCTAACAAAGCATTTCCAAACATTGTTCTTTGTAACCATTTTATTTAATACATAAAACTGACTAAATAAAATAACAAATTATATAAATTTATCAGAAATAGTACAGCAGTTGTGTTGAGTTGTATGAAATGAGAAATTTGACCGTACTTGAAAGCAGTTAATGCTTTTCTCTTTTTCACCAATTAAATAAACTTAAATCTTACCCCACCTTTGTAAACCAGTGTAATGAAATATTGGAATGTAGCTTGTGACTGATATATCAGAAATTCTGAATTAGTGAAGTCCTTTTTTATTGTAGAATATATCTCAGATGAATTGACTATAGAGCAGAGACAGCAAGATTGATGGTTGTCAAAATTTTATTTTATTTACAGTTTTGGTTAAGACTTGTTTTCCTTTTGGGAAAATTTAATCCAACTTTTGTTCGTTGTTGTCCATCTCTATGTGTGGGGTGTGACCTAGGTATATGGTATTTTTGCATCAAGGACAATGCTTCAACTCCCTCAAGAAACGATGAATGAGAAAGCCTGGGTCATTAAATGTTTGAGGAGTTTGATTTGCTTCTGTAAATGAGTGAAGTTTACAGGTTTTCTTACACATATTGTAGTTTTGATGTGGTTCAGAATGATTATGAACAATTAGGATGCTTTTCTTAGGTATATATAATCATTAATTAATTGTATAATAGAAATATTTGTAATGTATCCCACTGGTTTGGGCAATTTCTCAGCATAATTTATTAGTAAATCTGTTTGTAGTAAGATTTATACTAAAATTGCTTACGGATGGGGAATTTTTTCTACTATTTTCCTGAGAAGCTGTTTGTAAAAATTGGTGTTTAGTACCATGATTAGAATAATTTGAACACCATAACAAACAAGTAACCAGTCCCTGTGAATATAGCTTTGCTGTTTGGAATTGTGGTAGAAAGTTCTGTTTTCTCTTATTTAAGCACTTTCCAAACGTTAAAGTACTGTAGAGCTAGGCTGCTATGGACGTTCCCTGTTTTGAAATAAGTGCGTTCCTGGAGATCTGCTTCTGAAATGGGTCACTGTAAGGTGATCCCTCTTCTCTGGACATCAATAGAAGCCATCAAATGAAGGGATGAAGTTGGTGAGACATTAAGTGTGTGTCTTTTTATAGGGAGTGCTGAGTGTGTGGTGCTAAGTTTTCAAGCCTGTAGTTACCATAGCACTGTTTAAGCACTAACTGAGGTGAAAGCAGGAATTAAAGCGATTTTGTTGCAGATGGGATTTTTAGATTTGGTGTGGATTTCTTTATCTTTAAATAAATATCACAGCTTAACACACTTTTTACTACAATTCAAGGGTCTTTGTTCACTTGCATGTATTTCTTTAGCTCGGGTTGAATATAGATATATCACTTTAAGGTTACTAGATTTTGAACTTTTCAACAGATCATTGCTCTATACATTGGTTGGTTTATAGGCCTGAAAAGTACATGGTCACGTTTTGGTCACTTCCTTCCCTGTGTTAATCAAGGGTTGTGTTTCTGGTACCTTCAGCTAGTCAGTAAGAAATGCACCCTGAATTTTCACAGTTAGCCCATTGAAAGTTTCTGTGTTTTACTTCAGATTATCACCTGGAATTTGAGTCCCCTTTTATGCATATATTTATTAGAACCTTGCCTGCATTAGGGATCAGAGGCATTCTAATAGCTATGACCATTGATTGTTTCTTGTGTGCCAAGTTCTATGGGAAGCACTTTACATACATACAGACTCATTATTTAAAACTTGTGAGGTAGGTGCTTATGACCATTTTATAGAGGTAGCAGGTAAAACTAAGAAACTAAGCACTTTGGGTGTGGTCATACCATGTAGTAGTTAGCTTTTGCTGTAGCCATATACAACCCCCACATTTAAGAGGTTTAATACAAAAGACCTAATTTCTTGGTCATATGCAGCTTTTCTGGGTTCAGCTTCTTCTGTCATCTTGATTCCACATGTCCTGTTCTAGGGCTCAGTGGAAGGAGCAGTCACTATATAGAGCATGCTTTTCTCAAGGCAGAGAGGGATCAGAAGCTCAGGGGCAGAACCATACTGTAATACAGCAGACATGGTGTGGCATGTTCTCTTACATTCTATGGGCAAAGCAAGTCATAAGGCCACGCCCCATGTCATTGGAGTGGGAAGCTTCCTTCACTTACAGAGGAGAATGGAATGGCAAGGGCAGGGAGGGAACGAATAATTATTGAAAACATACCAAGTAAGTGGTAGGGACAGAATTTGAACTTAAAACTCTAGAGCATAATGCTGTATTAGCCAGTAAGTAGACATGGGAGGGTTTGTCTGTTTGTGGGTTTTTTTGCTTTTATTTTAATTAGTGAGGGAACTGAAGAGGTACAAGACTGACAGCAGAATGACAGCAAGAAAAAGGATATAAAAATGTAAAATAATACATATTAGAATTTTATGATCTAATTAATGGTTCTGAGTAATCACGATTACGTTTGCATGATGTTAATGAGAGTTCATGAAATAGTATTAAAATCAAAATGCTTTTGGTACTTCAAAGTTATCTTAAAAATTTATTTAGATTACAGTTACAAATGAGATACCATTTGTGAAATCCTTCATGAAGTTTTTGTGAAATGGCAGTGACAAATTTGGGAGTAGAATTTGTGTTTTCATTTATTGTTTCATTAAACTTTGAACTTTGGGGAGACTTGAGATTTATAGTTCTGTGTTAATATGGAATGGAAACACCTTACTGATTATTGGGATTACCAGAATGAAATGAAGTAAGCTTTTTAAAAAATGTATTTTTAAAAATTGGTTACATATTTGCACATGATTGGAAATTCTGCAGGTACAAAAGGGTATAACAGCAAAACCTCCTCCTCCCCACTGGTCATGAATGCAGCCGGTGTTCCATAGATAATAGGTGGGCATTTACAGACCAATTCATATATAAAAGAGCTTCCTGTTCTTTTCCATTGTATCTATATACTATAATTTATTTAATCACCCCATTGATAACCATTTTGGTCGTTTATCGTGTTTTACTATTACAGACAATCGTACAATCAATAACTTTGTGTATATATCATTTCACATATCTGCCTATTTTAGAAGAAATTCCTTTAAGTAGAATTACCAGCTTATTTGGTCAGGAAGAAAGTACATCTGAATTAAATATACAAATATATTTAATTTATTTTTGTTACATGTTTTTCATATTCTTTCTTAATTGAAAATGAGAAAATCCAGAGAAATGAGAAAAACAAAACCAACCTTCCCCCCAAAGAAAATCAAGACATGATTCTAACAGAAATTAACACTATTAATTCCTTGACAATTATCATACTAGACTTTTCTTGCTGCATATAGTTTTTTTTTGTCTCGATTCTAAAAGCAGGGCTGAGTACCATGTAGGAGAAAAAGTAGGCATATCCACAATTTCTTTTCTCAAAACAATTTTCTGAAATACTAAGTGCTAGTAAGTTCATACAGAATTTGTAAGATGGTTTAGAAAAATAGTGGAGCATGAGTTGAATGGGAAAGCAGTAGATAACACGTTTTTTTTTTCTTTCATTTTGTCAGGCTTAGTAACTCATTTTTTACTGCAGACCTGAGGGAATTTCTTTTTAAGGCTCTCGATCTGAAAAATAGGAGTGTTCAGTAGTTCATCTCAGTTTTGACATGAATTTGTTGAATAAATTTTTAAAAGGTGAAAATTTGTTTAAATTTCACATGTAAATCCTGATAATAAAGAATGTTTTGTAATAGCTCTCTTGGCAGAAGTATTTTTAGATCTGATCTGATCTGATCTTACTTAAATTCTTGGTATTGTCACATCATTTCATTATTTGTTTGTATTTGAGACTCCAGTTAGAATATGAATTTCACAGGCTCAGGACCCTCTCCTATTGTTTTTTTGTATTCTCTTTGCCTAGTATAGTATAGACTTGGCATGTCAGATCCTGAGAATACTTACTGAATTAATGAAATGACCCAGTAATCTAGACATTCTTGTATTACTTTGCTGTGCTCAGTGGTTATTCCTAAGTAACATTCTTCAGGGCAAGAGGGGTGGGTTCCCTCACGCTAATCTGTTAGCAGCATACAGAAACCTAATTTCCCAGGATTTTGTTCTGCAGTTCATTACTGTTTTGTGCATTATAAATCATTGTTGTCAATATATTACTATGAAGACTAACTTTTTACTTCAGATTATGTGTCCTTATACTAATGGCTTTTGTTTATTAATAAGTATGGTATCTATTATCATGTGAGAAACAACATGGCTCTTTCAGAGTATTTCTTGTCAGACTTGACTTTCCATTGTTTCTCATTTGGAATTAGTCTTTTCCCCTTAACTTTCACACTGGTAACAGAGAAAGAGATTTGAAGTGACTGAGGTGGACTGTCATTGAAATAGAATAGCAACTTTACGTGCTGAAGGATCTCATTTTATAAACTTAAAACTTTTTTCAGGAGGAGGCAAAACATATTCAGAATCTGCAGAAAGCAAGCACCCGTGCTGACTCGAGGGAGGATGAAATCTCTCCTCCTCCACCTAATCCTGTGGTTAAGGGCCGGAGGCGACGGGGTGCTATCAGTGCTGAGGTCTACACGGAGGAAGATGCTGCATCCTATGTCAGAAAGGTCGTTTTGCTATGTGAACATTGGGGAAATGTTCTTGGGACCGTGTGATAGTCATCTAGTCTCCTTTGCTGAATGCACGCAGTGTTTTGCATAGAAAGAAAAGCAGGATGTTTCATATTCCATTCTGTACAGTGCTTGGTTGGGTACTGGGGAGCAGGTTTCTGTAATAACAAGTCATTAAAGGAAATAACAGTGATTATAAAAGAGTAATTGTATTTTCTTTTCCTTTTTGTTGTTTTGTAGAAGAAGCAGGCAGTACTTCTTTTTCTGTTGAATTGCATCAACTTTTGGCATCCTATATATAGTTCATGTTGTGGATTTTATTTAACCTTTTATCCTATAAGTTTTATTTATCCTAGTTGGCTCTGCCTTAGAGCCAGCCTGCCATTTTGAGTCATGCTATTAACCTGCAGAGCAAAGAGAATATTGTCCTGGCAAGAGGCTTGTGAAACTAATAGTACATGATCACAGTTTAAAAAATGACTTATTGTCATGAAGCGATTGTTCTTGCTTCAGAATAATGACCTTGGTTGAGGTATTTTTTGTTTAGTTGTTGACTGGGAACTAAATACCAACCTTTAAATACAGTCCAGGTTGTAGGCAAGGGGATTAATTAGTATTTGTTGAGTACTTTGTGAATCAAAGGTAGAACAAATGTGTCGTGTTGAAAATACTCAAGTCTTTTAAAAATACTATAATGCAGCTTGATATTTAATTAAATTGCATGTTCAAACATGAAATGTTTTTGGTTTATGGAATTGCCATTTGACTTTCTATTCTTTTCTAGGTTATACCAAAAGATTATAAGACAATGGCTGCTTTAGCCAAAGCCATTGAAAAGAATGTGCTCTTTTCACATCTTGATGATAATGAGAGGAGGTGGGTATAGATTCTTTGTTAAACAGTCTTTTTCCAGTAAATCTGTAGTCCCAAACTATTCTTATCATTGTTTCAAGTTTTAGGGGCTCTTTATAATTGTTCACTTGGACATTCTGGACTGAAACCATGGGAGCTTTTATTCTAAGGTTAATGTTTGAAATCCATAGAAGAGGCACATGAACTATATAACCTGAGGCCTTTTCTCCCTTGCAGTGATATTTTTGATGCCATGTTTCCAGTTTCCTTTATTGCTGGAGAAACTGTTATTCAGCAAGGTAAGGGATATGCTGCTTTCATGGTGTGCAGCATTACTATGGGAAGGGATCTTTTTTAAAGTGAAGTTTGTTTTTCTTTCAGCCAACCATTTTCCTTCTGTTTATGCTATCAGATTTTCCTATTTTTTTTCTCAATTAAAATCTCTGAGTTAAAAGGCATACATTCCCTAAGAGACTAATATTTCCCTGGTATCTGATAAAATTTTTTTAAAATTGAGATGCATATAATAAAATGCACATATCTTAGTGTACAGCTTGATGAATTTTGATGTGTGTATGCTCATGTAATCATTGCCTTGATCAAAATACCAAACATTCTCACTAAACTCCCTTTACTTATTTCGGTCCCCTCTCCCTACCCACAACTATGGTAACCACAAGTCTGTTTTCTGTGTTTATGAGCCTGTTTTAGTTTTGCTTATTTTTTAGATATTCCACATGTAAGTGAAATTATGTAGTCTTGTCTGACTCTGACTTACTTCACTTAGCATACCTTCTAGGTCCATCCATGTTGTCCCAAATGGCAAGATTTCATTCTTTTTTATGGCTGAGTAATACTCAGTTGTATGATGTATCACGTCTTTTTTTATCTTTTGGTCTATCAGTGGACATTTAGATTCTTTGTATATCTTGGCTATTGTACTAATATTTCCCTAGTATCTGATAAAATTTTGTTTATAGTAACTGTTAAAGGAAATTCCTGCATTTTTATTTAGAATGTTACATGGCATTTCAGAACCATATATATTTCATATAGCCTTTATATTGATTATTAACCACTCATAAATTAGGAACTAAGCAAAACACTTAGCATTTATCATCATATGGCTCATCTTTTTAAAAGGTTCTACACCATCTACAGATTCTTACCTTTTGCCCACATACACTAACATGGATATAATCTTTTAGGTATCTCTCCTTTTTTCCTTTCTTATGTACTCTATATATTTTTATCTTTTGTAGTCTATATATTTTTCCATTTAGAGAAAATCTGGTATTTTGTTCCCTGCTCTTGAGTTGTTTCTTGTTTTGTTATTATAGATGCTGTAGCAGTTAGTAACTTTGTATGTGTGTGGCTTTATTTTTTCTTAATTTTTTGGAGGTATCCTTTACCATGAGATGACTAAAAAAATTGATGACTTTATGACTTTTAAAATATATTGCTGGGCTTTTTTTCTGAAAGATTCTGTTAATTTATTTATAATACTCTTCTCTCACTGTACTTCTATAAAATAAATTTATTATTTTACATTAATTTGATAGTTTCAATTTGTTTCTTTAATTTCTAATATGCTTCTAACTTTACTGCTCTCCTCTCTTTTAGGTGATGAAGGGGATAACTTCTATGTCATTGATCAAGGAGAGATGGATGTAAGATTTAATAATAGCAAGAATATGTTGATAATCTTAAAAGTCAGTGTGTTGATATTTATTGCTTCTAAGGGTTTCTGAAGGGCTATTGTAATCCTTGTGTGTCAGTTTTCATCAACCCCTTTTGCCAAATATTTTAATGACACAGAAACATTTTAAACTTGAAGGTGAGGTGATTTTTTTAGCTAGACAAGTAGTTCATAACTTGCTTGAGTAGTGGTTAAGGTGTATGTGCGTGCTGTGAAGTAAGACAGGGGTAGGGAGAGTCTAGATCTATGATTAGGTACAGCTCTCTTGATTCTTTAAGTCTTGTTTATAAATGAAATGGGGATGATACTGGCATTTTTCTCCTAGGATTATTGGAAAATTTAGTGCTTTATGCAAGTAAAATGCTTAACACAGTGCCCAGCACAGTACTCTCAAGTGTATATGGTTATTAATGCTTAGTTCCCCTTTTTGCCCCTTATCATCCTTACAGAGTACCTTTTTCTTATCAGATAATTAAACCAAGGAAATTATAAACACTCTAAACTTAATTCATTGTCAGAAGTCAACTGTTTGCTCTGCTGTGTACTTAGAAACATATTTTTGTGAACAGAGTTCAGGATTCTGACCTCAAAAAGTTTTGCAGGTTTTTAATACTTATGCATTTGTGTATGTACAGAACACCACTTCTTTGTCATTTGCATCTTAGGTCTATGTCAACAATGAATGGGCAACCAGTGTTGGGGAAGGAGGGAGTTTTGGAGAACTTGCTTTAATTTATGGAACACCTAGGGCAGCCACTGTCAAAGCAAAGACAAATGTGAAACTGTGGGGTATCGACCGAGACAGCTATAGAAGAATCCTTATGGTAAGACTGGTTTTTGGAGTGTGATTTAGAATTACAGTCTACTAACTAATGTTTGAGTAACACTGCCACATTAAAGTGAGACTATTCCTTTGAATGATTGCTTTGCATTGAGCACATTTTAGCACTATTCATTATGCCATTTGAGATACTGGTATTTTAAAACACTGGGCCAGAAATAACATGGGAAACAAATGTGTATATTTAATGGAGTCAGCTCATGTTTGGAGATCTCTCCATTTGCTAATAAGTGGATCTTCACTTACCTCATCTTTACACAAAAGATAGCCTGATTCATGCTGCTTCCAACTACATAAAGTTATTAAAGGCAAGTGTGTTACCAGTAATGCAGATGTCATGTCCCCTCTCACTAAAGGAACAAACGACAGTTGGAACATTCTGCTGATATAGTCAGACTTTTTGAAAACTTTGTGACAGACTTGTAGAGTAGCTTTGGAGTAAGTTCCAGTTAATGATAATCAGTCATATTGAATGGCATTCTTAAATGTGTATGATGCCTTTCTGGCTGTTTGACATAATATGCTGTCAAGATGTGCTTTGAAACTTTCCTGTATTTGGGGGGATGTGTGTGTGTATATATATAAGTCATCCATATATATGTGTATGTATATAAATATTTTTAAGTTTATAAATACATAAGTTGCCAAGGCAATTTACTGTGTAAGGAATGTTTATCATAGAGGACTATGTGTTTCCCCGTCTTTTTCCCCCACATATATTGAACAAACCAAAACCTGCAGATAAGATAGCTTGGTTAAGTTGGGGGGACACTCTTTGGGGAGGGCATCTGTAAGTGGTAGTAGTTTCATTTCCTTATTTTGTGGAGGATTGGGGTTGTGGGAAAGTAACCCTGGGCTGGAAATACATTCATCTGTAGTAACATATATTACTTGGTTATTTTTTGGGAGAACGGATTATTTGCTCATTTGGCATTTCACTAATTGGTGGTTCTAGGACCCTTCTTTGACCATATACCTGGTGCTACTTTTAGGAACAAGTTACTAAGAGTTTTTTGTTGAGCTGAACAGAAGGACTTAACATTCTTCAACATGAAGAAAAATCAGAAATCAAGAGCAGCAGCAAGCTTTGACTTCTCTATTTTTTAATATTCTACAGCCTTATGTGGTAATTACACATTTTGAGATATGACTTTCACTTTTTTCATTTATAGGGAAGCACGCTGAGAAAGCGGAAGATGTATGAGGAGTTTCTTAGTAAAGTATCTATTTTAGGTGAGTTTTGGAGGATTGCATGGAGAATTGTTCAATTGAAGTGTGAGTGAAACTTGAGAATCCATTGTATTTCATAAAAACTATCAACTTTTTTTTCCTAATAATAATGAAAAAGACATGAAATACGGAGTTGAAGTTTCACTAACAAGTGATGTTAAGGTGTATTTAATTTGCTAGTATATGACAAACCTCTTAAATAGAGATGATTGGACCTGGAAAAAGCTTTCTGGAGTTAAGTGCTGCTCATTCCTCCTTGAGAAACAGGCTAAATGTGTTTTTCCTTCTGACTGGACATTCACTGTTATTCCTCTTGTGACTTCTGTTTTTTTGCTTCATCAATGAATTTATTGGTTCAGGAAAGTTGAGTATTTCCAAGAATGCATTTCCTCTGTAGAAGGATTAGGTGCTGTTTCCTGGCTTTCTTTTTAAAAGCAAGTTTATTGAAATTTAGAGTAAAACAGGTTAATTGAAGATATTTCTGTGAATTTTATTATGTGTGGACCTTAGAGACATCATTATAACCTGTTCTTGGGAGGAGAAATGGTGATTTTTATAAGACAGTAAGTAGTTTTTCTTCCACTGTACAGTGAAGTGAGTTTTCCCCCCTTATTTATGTGAAGTAATTACATTTGCCTGTTGTCTTGGGTGTTAGTTTAGGCTTTGGGAACAGAAGTTATTTCTAGTTCTTGTTGATTTCATAAAGTCAATTGAGGATTTAGAAAGATAAGTTATTTCTGTGAACCTCTGGAATAATACGATGGTGGCACTATTACTTTCGGGTCCTGTAACTGCAGATTTACATTAATGACAGTCTTTAGGAATACTTAATAATTACATTTTTTTATTCCCTTTCTATTGGGGTGCAGTTGGTATAAATTTACCTGGCCGTTGGACTACAGAGGTGAGGATCTAAGGGTTTTAAAGTAGTAGGAAGATCTTGCGGACACTAGAAGTAATTGAAGACAGGTGCCCTGTCTAATCTGATACTGCTAGAGTGTTAAATGGGCATGGCTGTTTGGTTGACTCTTTTATACTTCTTGTTTTGAAGTTTTTTAGCAACACTAGTAACACAGAGAATCTTTTTATTCTTGCTTTCCAGAATCTCTGGACAAGTGGGAACGTCTCACAGTGGCTGATGCTTTGGAACCTGTCCAGTTTGAAGATGGACAGAAGATTGTGGTGCAGGGAGAGCCAGGGGATGAATTCTTCATTATTCTAGAGGTGTGGAGCCCTACATTTGATACTTAAAAAGTTGTTCATTATAGGAGAGAGAAAAAGGCCTAATTTTGATTCATAGCTTCAGTTTTGAAAAATACCTGATAGTTTTATTTAAAAATTATCTTCACTTCAAAATGTTTGATTTTCTGCCATGCCACCACATTTTAAATGTTTGAGTCAGAATTCTGGAAGAACTGTTCATAACATAATAACCAAATTCTGACCTTCTCAAATTAATCCTCATCAGACAAGCCAAATAAAACTACCATTTAACATAACAAACTGATGATTCTGCACCATCCTTGTTAAAATTATGTGTTTGGGCTATTTGTCAAATAAGGATCAAAGGCAGGTATGTAAGTTCTAAAGCTACTGTTTCATATCTTCACTGTCTTGTTTAAATGGATAGCATATACCCTTGCAGATCCAAAGAGCAGATTTTTTATGAATGTAACTCAGTAGATACTGATTGATTTTATTTAAACCAGGGGTTGTGGGACTTACATAAAAGGGCCAGTTGGTAGGTAATTTAGGCCTTATGAGCCATAAGGTTTTCTGTAGCAAAGATGCAAAAGCAGTCATAGACAATACATGTAAATGGTGTGTTCCTGTAAAATTTTATTTGTAAAAACAGGCAGTGAGCTTGTATTCAGTGCTCTGGCTGTAGTTTGCTAACTCAAGTCTGAGCTTTTTAAATACATACGTTGGCTTGATAAGAACCTCTGGTAGGGGCTGCTGGGTAAATAGGAATTGAAGCTCATGTAGTGCTGCTTCTCAGGCGTCTTTCATCGTGTGAGCACACAGGATTCAAAATAGCTGCTGAATAATATTTTTTCTTTATTTGCAAAGTAGCTAAAATTGCATAGGATATTTAAAAGCCACACTGGACTTGAAAATATTTGTTTTGCTTTTTGGTGATTTTACTACAGGGTTCAGCTGCGGTGCTGCAACGTCGGTCAGAAGAGGAAGAGTTTGTTGAAGTCGGCAGGTTGGGGCCTTCTGATTATTTTGGTATGTGGATTCCCTAACAATAAATGCGTAGTTTCTTTGTCACCTCTCAGTAAGATACTACAGTCTTTCATAATTTTGTCTTTCCTTCTCCTGAATTTTAGTTTTGAATTCCAGTCTTTTTTGGGTCACAGAGACATGGTGTGGGATTTTGACCTTTACTCAGTTAATAATTAAGTTACTGATGATCTCATCTATCCGGTTTAAGTGCAGATATAGTGTGGCCTCTACTAAGTTATTAAGAGAGAGATTTATTTTCTCTTTTTTCTCAGAAGCGTACCTGTAAGGAAGTGTGTTTCGTAGCATGAGCCTCCCCTTACCCATCTCTCTCTTTGCCTTCTGCAGGGGAAATCGCACTCCTCATGAATCGTCCTCGCGCTGCCACTGTGGTTGCTCGTGGTCCTTTGAAGTGTGTGAAGCTGGACCGACCTAGATTTGAACGTGTTCTGGGCCCATGCTCGGATATCCTCAAACGAAACATCCAGCAGTACAACAGTTTTGTGTCACTGTCTGTCTGAAATCTGCCTCCTGCGCCTCCCTTTTTTCTTGTCCCCAGTCCATGCTTCATTCATGCAGACTGCTTCACTCTCCCTATTTGCAGTGCCACGTGGCCACTGGCATCGTAGCTTATTGTCTGTTTATATTAAAAATGCTTCTATTGCACCGTTTTTAATTTGGAGCATTAACTGAATGCTCACACACAGTTAAATAAACAGAAAGAGTTCTTTGGAGACTTTGCTGTTACTGCTTCTGTTTGTGCAGTGTTAGTATTCAGCCTGGGCAGTGCGTGCCATGCTTTTTGGTGAGGGCAGATCCCTGCACCAAATAAATCACCATAGACTAATGATATTATAGGATAAGATTTTTTTTTTTAAGTGACATAATTTTCCAGGTATGTGCTATTTCAGACTGTGGCCATATATGCTGTGTTTATAGAATAAACGATTTCATTAAGCTCTGAGAACTAGGAAAAGCATACAGAAAAGACCTTAGCATTAGAAAGACATCTGCCTATATTTAAACTAGTGTGAGGGTGGAAAAGTGTCCATTTTTGCTAATTATCAGATGGATGTGATCTGTTCGGTTTTTAACCAGAATTTTTGTCAAGCTAATTTGCCTGGTTTTGTTTATATCTTAATGTTTCCTGAAGTTCTGAAATGTGTTTGGTTGTGGCTATCTATACCTGCCTTTTAAGTTTAAAACCACATCGTTGGCTGCAAATATTGGGTTATAGTTTAACTACATCTGCCTCAGCTCACAAATTTTGATTAGACCTTTAACCAGCTAGTGCCAAATACTGATCATCAGATGCTGAATTGAGAAAAAGAATTTGAGGTCTATACTCTTGGTTGTTAACTTAGAGCTTTTGGTTAATGTACAGCCTTCAGATGACTACAGGATAATCTGTGCTCAAAAAACAGTGAGTCCAGGGCATTGGATTTGCTGGGAATAGAACAGATGTAACAAATGTCATAACAGAAAAATGGAGGTGACATTGTTAACAGGAGAAATGCCAAGTGGGCAGAGTTCAGTGTTGGGATCTTTATCCCACTGCATTCAGTAGGGCATGAGATTTGGGAAAAAGGTTTACTTTGGTTTAACCTTTTCCCTCCTTTTTACATTAACTAGAATTTATGGTGGGTTGGGGGGTGGATAGAATGTATCTGTTTCAAGTTGGTCTAAAAGGCCATCTTGCTGAAAAGTTCTGCTTTCCTATCTAGCTTTTATTTCTTTGGCAAACTTTTTTTTCTAAGTAAACTTGTGTTGAGTCTTAACTGTATTTCAGTATTTTCCAGCTGTATCATCTTTATGTGTTACATTATTCCATGTGCACCAATGATACCCAACAGTTTATTTTTTAAAACACAATTTCACAGTTCTGTAATGTGGACACTTTTATTTTCATTGTGATTTATATATAATGTAGAGTTATATTGGGGAGTGACTGCAAGCAATTTTCCATCTGTGTGCAACTGGCTGATTATTAATCACCTCTCCTACCTTTTCCCAGGTAATTTAAATTGGTCTTGATAGATTTTCTTTCATAGATTTGAACACTTTTTAGGTTGTTACTAAGTTTGGAGTATAAATATGGGAAAGAAGTTTTATTTACATTTTAGTGTGGAATAGAAAGCTGCCGTATAACAAGTTTTTTATTTCTCAAAATCTATTAAAGGAGGGTTTTCTGATCTGTACTTAGTGTTTAGCTACCTTTTTATATTTAAAAAATAAAAAATAAGTTATGTTTCTGTTTGCTTAAAGCTGATTTTATTTTGTTCAATGCCAAACTGTACTTCAATGAATTCTTTAGAATGCCATAAATTTGCAATTTCATATATGTATATAGTCATGTTCATGTGTATTTAGAACCTGTAATGCTTTTGAAGTGAGTTTCGCTCTTCAATCATTTGGTTTGCTGTTTACTCCCTTTTATTTTTAATCTAAGAAATCTTAAGTCTAAATTTAAAAATTAACCACATTTAAAAAGCTTTATCTTTGTGCAATCTGAGTATATGTGAGAAATCACTATTGCCACAATTTGTCTTAGTTGGTATGTGGGGCTGTAGGAGTCATTATTTCTTGTGAAATAATGACTTGGTAAGTGAAATTGATGCGATAACACTCTAGAAAGTATAGATGGCCCGAAGGACCATTTTGTATTGTTTTCCTGCTTAAAGTCTGATTATACTGTATGTGCTAATATATTCTTTTTGTTACAGATTGTCTTAATAGTAGGTCAAGTAATAAAAAAAGATGAAATAATTTAACTTCTAAGTGAATCAGTTTTCTTCCCTTTCTCCTCTCCATATGTCTCCCTCCTCCTCTCCCCCAGAAACTCCTAATCTAGTGGGCAAGAATGATAGTTGAAAGTGAATTATGGGATTGGTGTTTTGAAAGAGTAATATGTTTATTTTCAGTGTTTTACATTTAAGTTTGTCAAGGAATGAATGTAGAATAGACCTTAAATTGTAATTGAGATGCAGCAGATCTGTTTATCTGTTTACTGAGTAATGGAAGGGAAAGATGAAATCAAAAGCCAAAGATTTCCTTCTTTTGGAAGGCAGACTGGTTCTCTGGCCTTGGAACTTACCTGTGCTTAATTGGGAAACATTTCTGGATCAGCATACTCTGGTTTAAATTTAATATATGCATGTAGATATTTAGGTATGCTTATGTACTTTGTGTATATAGTCTTTATTTCTGATATTCTTCAGACTTCTGAGGAGAGAGATGATTGTTATTCATATGTAGGTTTTTCTTTACAGTTAATGAAACTGGAGACTTATTCTAGAACATTCTTTAGTGCTGCTTTGTAACGTGTGTGCTTTGTCTAAATTCACTAATCCTTCATGTCCACTGGAGTTAGCACTGTACTCGTTATAGTTTAATTCTCCCTCTGATACACCAGTTCATATATTTTAATGACTTAAATATTGACCTTTTAAAATTGAAGTAGCTTGATGTTAGCTTTCTTAATACTGCTTTATAGCCAACCACAAAGTAATAGCTGGACCCTTTTTCTATTGTGTTGGGCCCTGGCAGTGTATTTCTAGATGGGCTAAAACAGCATTGAGAAGCAGTGGCAAGATCACCATTTAATATGTCTCCCCTAAAGTAGCTATTGTAATGGCTTATCAGCAAAGGCTGTAGATAGGAGAACTTAAGCGGGGAATCTTATTACATCTCTCCCTTCTGACTCTATGGAATTTTTACATAGAAATCAGTATTGTATACATATAAAGTTAAAATTTGTTTATTGACATATCAGACCTGTGACTTTATCCTGACTCTGCTTTAAAGCAGAACCATTAATATGGATAATTTTTTCGTTTTGTGAAAGTTCTGCTGGTTTAGCTTGAGCGGGTTGTTATTGTCAAAGTCACCACTAGATGGAGAGCTATTTATAAAACTCCTAGTGTTAATCTCAAAGTAAGTTAACAGTTGATGCTCATTATTCATGGATGCTGTATTTGCAAATTCTGAAAATTTGCCTTCTTGGTAAAATTTATGTGCAACCCCCAAATCAGTACTTGTAGCCTTTCCGTAGTCATTCCTGGATATCAGTGGAGTGGTGAAGAATTTGAGTCTCTGGACACACATGTACCCAGCTGAGGTCAAACAAGTCAATGCTCTGCTTTCTAGTTTCTGCCCTCATGCTGTAATCAGTGTCCTTCTTATGGGCTAGTTAGTGCCGCTTTCTTGCATTTTTGTGCTTTCTGTTGGTGATTTTGTTGTTTAAAATGGCCTCCTGCTGCTGAAGTGCTGGCTACTGTTCCTAAAGGCAAGAAGGCTGCTGTTATATGCCTTAAGTACTAAATACATAGCTTCTTCCAGGCATGAGTTAAGAGTGCTGTTGCCACAAGTTCAGGGTTAATGAATCAGCAATACACATTAAATAAAGTGTCTTTAATACACCTGACTGAACACATAAAACAAGACCATTTATTGATCATGTGACAAAAATGTAACCAGAGGCTCACAGAAACCTAAACTCTTTATTTCCTCTAGGAGTAAATGGTTCATTCTCTGCTAGTCCAGTGTATGTGATGACTTTGTAGACTGTAAAACTAATAAGAGAATCAACTAACTGCTTTTTCAAACATTCTGCAAACTCAAATTGTCCTCCTGACTTTTGAGAGGGCTTAAATGTGTACCTCCAAACCCCTTGCTCCACCAGTTTAAATACTGTTTGGTTCATTCTCATTTTTTAGTTTGCTGTCAGTAATAACATGAAAAGTGTTTACATGCAGACAGGAGAGTTGTTATGTCATGGGAAGTTGAAGAATGGTCCAAAATGAACATGTTGGAAAGAACTTGATAGTTCTAAGAATGGGGTCTTTTTTTCTTGTATTTTTGACATATGACAGAGTCTTAGTTTTGGTATTAGTGAAAAAATAATGGAGTGTTTAAGACAAGTGAATAATCAGGTATCTAGGATTTCTGCATTTTGTGGTCAAAATTTTGTTACTCGGTTTGTAAAATTCACCAGTTTTTACTATAGGACATTTGAAAACCAGTCCATGTCATGGAAGCAGCTGGTGTGAGGTGGATCATGGCTTTCTAACTTCCTGAGGCTCTGTGATAGGGAAGTCTCTGACCATCGTGTGCTTTTTTTTGAACCTCTTTGCCTGAATATATTTCTCCCATTCCTCTATGTGTAATTACCTGGTCCTTCCTCCAAACAGAAATACTGGCTTGAAGGAGGAGAAACAGTTCAACAAGTGGAGAGCCCTGAGCAGTGGTAAACTCACCTTAGTAACTGATGTCTCTGGGATTGAGTTGATTAAAGAGTTTTATTTTATTTTTTCCTTTAAGCAAACTTCATAAATTGGGTGAGATACTGTTGGGTTTTTGTATTACAGTGGAAGGAACATTTTGGACTAGGCTTAAGTCATTTGGTTGTATGATTTTAGCTAATCTCTGAGCCTTAGTTCTTTGGACATGGGAGGTAGGGGCTTCTGTCTGTTCAGGAGGATTGGGAACACGTATGTGTATGGATTCTCCCACATGTTAAGAGCTCTGTGAAAGATGATGGTTCTGTCATGGAGATACAAGCTTCAAGGGGCAGTGGGCCAGTAACAGGTACCAGTGTGGGCCTGAAATGCCCTTTTATTTGTCCTACAGGGGGCTGTCTTTGGACACACAAGTCTCAGTGACAACTTCTGTCAACCTTACCCCCAAACCCCCACCACTGTTCACTCCCCTCACACATGTAATATTTGAGCCTCTGGCCTTTATTAGAAAAGTTAGTCGGATGAAATCGACCATTGTGATTTGTTGACTGACTAATCACTCCATAGTATGAGTACATTCCTGTCATTTGTGTTTTCAGACATGAATAATTTGACCAAGTAGCAAAGCTACCAACTGAAGGAGTTTCGGATGTCAGCAGAGCAGTAAGGAAAGGGTGGAGGAGATGGAAGCCCTGACGTGCCCACTTTTAAGGGAGGCTTTGAAAATCAACTTGAGTTCTTTCTGCACAAGCAGCTGAGGGGAGGGGCATGGAGAGAGTCAGACCTCTCCAGATCCTGGATCTTGTGGGAAAGAGGGTTGTGGGTGGGCTGTGGTGGCCTTGCTTTTCTCCTGTCCTGTGCAGGCTCATGTACCCACTGGGCCCATTCTTGGGTGGTCCCACCTTCAGGACCCCCTTGCTTTCCCTTCAAATTCATCCAGACTTCCCTCTAAATACAGATTTGTCCTACTATTATGGATAATTTTGACACTTGATGTTATTTTTGATACTAAAATACAGGTTGAAATTTCTCGTGACATTCCAAGAAAATCCCTGTGTTACATTTAATCTCTGTTAAGTTTCTGAGAATTGCTTTAGGACTGGCCAGGAGGGAATTGTTCAGATTGGGGCCACAGTGACTGGAGTAATTAATTAGGAAGTGTGAAGTCTACTTTGAGCCAGTTGGAGAGTTACGTTTTTTAGATTTTTTGTCTGTTTGTGAGGTGCCAGGTGTTTTATCTGGATCCAGAATTTAGATACAATAAGGGTCTGGAGGTCCGTTTGGTGTCCATTTGATGTCCTTTAATTTGGTACAGTTAATACTCTGTCCTGGGACAAGGCTTCCAAACCTTCCAAGCCTGACCTGTATCCAGATTCCCTAGCGGGCTCAGGAGGTGGTTTGTGGCCTTGAGGAGGCAGTGCCTTCTGGGCAAGAGGAAGCCGAGGCGGTCCACTAGAGGAGCAGTGTACCCAGGAGGAAAGTTCAGTGCATCCCACTTCCTTTGCTCAAAGTCATCCCAGTGCCCTGCTACTTGCTTCCTGAGCTCATGACGCAAGACCCCAATATTGATGGGGGGACGTGAGGAGCAGTGTTCACACTTGGGAGTCCACTGCTGTCTCCAGCAGTTTGACTTGTCCAGTCCTAGTTTGTCAAATTAGTTGGGCTGGAGTCTAGGGCTGACTGTTCTGCTGGGCCATTGGCTATGACACTCTGCTCTCCATGGGCTTCTATGCATTCCTCCACTGTCCTCAGCACGATTTGGAGTCTCCGATCCAGGGCAAGAAGGTGGGGCTCTGTGAGGACAGGGCTGAGCTGGTCTCCTAGCAGTGACTCCCGCATCATGTCGCTGAGTCTGTACTCCGCTTGGGCCAGCAGCTGCAGGTGCAAAAGTGTTTTCTTTTTTATCCTGGGAGGACAAAGTCATAGGAACCAAGTAAGTAAATGTAAAGAAAAAAACTTGACTGAATTAATTTCCCCACCAACAGCTGTTGTAGAGCGAGCCTTCTCCCCCAGTGCCTTCCGAAGCACAGTTTAACAAGGACCAGGTAAAAGGAACAAATAAAAGATGACATCCAGGATTGTGCAGTCCTTTGCCCAGCTGCTGTTGGGTCAAGAGCTTGCTGAGCCCTTTGTATTCTAACAGTGGTGATCACGACAGGAAGCTGGACCGGACGCATCTAGCATTTCTACGGGAATTGGAATATTGATTCTTAATGACTTTTCAAGGAGGTTTAAAGCTAACGAATCTCTAGTAGGTGAAATGAAGATGTTAGCCATTTCTAAAGCAGTAGGTGCTGTCAGCCTCCAAGCTGTTTCTTCCTAACTTGATAATATTTCTGTTAGGTTCTAAAAATCAGAGGATGGAAATGGGGTGGGGCCAATATTTAGCATTTTGATTTCCTTTTATATGAGAATCTGACTTGGATTCAGATGTGTAAGTAGCTTAATTGTCTTGACTTGTCACGCCCACTGCCTGCCTCAGGAGGAGAGGAGGGGGACGGTAAGGAGGGAGGCACGTTTAACCTAAGAAGTGGATGACGAGAATTCATGTTCTGCTCCGAGTTTCCCAGCTGGAAAAGGATGAGGTGAGTTTGCGAGATGTGAGTCACTTATTTCTAATGAGCTCTGGATACCGCAGCTGAGCAGCTGGACAGTCTTACAAGCTTGGCTGCAGCACTGGAGAGGTATGGAAGTTGAGAGACTGTCTAGAGAAATGGTGTCCAGACAAAGGCCTATTTTCTTTCAACTTGGTGCAAGTTTATGGGACTTTAATCAGGGTTTTGCTTAGGTGGTGATGCAAGTGGTGATGCCTGTGAGCTTATATGAGTGCTGGGCTAAGTAGAGGTGTGAGTAATAACAAAGACTCAGGGTCTGCAAAGGTTAGTATCTGAGTGAAGATGAAAATGGGTGATAGGAAGGGTTATAGGATTATTTCCTAATTCGCCCTAGGCTGAAAGATGGGAGCCTGAGATGCTGGGGAAAATTCTGTAGTTGTGTAAGTGAGGTAATCCCTCCCATCCTGCCCACCCACCCATGTCCTAAACCAAGGAAAACGGATTTAAGACCTTGTGAGCCTGGTTGCAGGTGGGATGTAGTGTCCCTGTTGTGACCTGCCCGTGAACTGAGCTTACCTGCAGCACTGGGACAGTGGCGAGAGGATGGAGAGCTCATCGTGGGAGTGTCGCCCAAACCTAGGAGAGGAAACAGACCCTCAGGGGCGGCGAGCTGCGTGTCCCCACCACGTGTTTCCCCTTCTTTCTCTACCGCAGCCTTTTAGGACTCAGCTGGGGTAAATGCCGGGGGTCATGGCAGCTGCCTCTCCAGCCCCTGTCCTCAACTGGCTTACAAAAGCTTCTGTCCAAAGACATTAAAACCAAGCAATCATTGATTCGTTTGCCTGTTTATCCACCAGTCACAGAGGGCCAGACACTGAGGATGAGCCCATGTTCTGCCTCCAGGAGTGAACATGTAAAAATCACAGGGAACTTTGGTCTATGTCACTAGTGCTCTTAGGCTGGAGGAGCACTAAGTGGTATTTAAGAAAGACTAAGGGAAAAAGGAAATGGAACAGGTGGGGCAAGGGGACAGGGAACATGGCAGTAGAGACCCCTCATTCTTGCGTCCTCTGGTTTCCCCTGAGCCTCTGCTCAGCCGTATGGCTGGGTGAGGGGTGCTGGCACACTTACCCTCTGGCATTGTCAAGATGAATAAAGAACCCATCATCCCCAAATTTGGTGAACATCTCATAATGATGACGATCCATATTTCCTGTAAAAGAGGGGAGGCACAAGCTGGGGCCAAAAGGCCAGCACAGACACACCGTCTTCCCTGGCTGCCCCTCACCTTGTGAAGGGAAAAAACAACTCCAGCTCAATCCCACCTCCAATGCCTGGCTTCTGAGTGATGTCCCCACCCAAGAGGGTAGCATTTCTGTCCCCTGGGACCTCTGCCATTTCCGGGGCTGTGGCTGATGCCAGGTTACTCAGTCCTGAATTCAGCTGTGACTTGTTGCCGAACGCCACGGAGGATCCCAGCGCAGCGGCAGAGCCCAGGTCTGCCTGGTGCCCTGAGCAGAGGACCCACCTATCAAGAAGTCAAAGATGGCCATGTCGATGACATTGAGGAGCCGCCCGCTGCTGTTGTATGGGTAGATCTGTCTCACTGTGTCGCAGTAGAGTGGATTGACCTCCCACCTGAGGGGGAGAAGAAGTCCTAGGGCTGGAAAAGCCAAGATGGCAAGGTGTTGCGGGCCCTCCTTACACCTCTCACTGACCCAAAACCCTGCCTCCCTGATCCTGCCCGGGCAGGTGGCAGCTCCTTGGCCTCAGGTGGGAGGGAGCTGGGTGCCTTCAGGAGGACCCTGGGCAAAGACACGGTGGGGGGGGGTGCTTCTGGGTCTTTGAGCACTGTCTCCTGAGCCCCCACTCTGCTGGGTGCTCTGCTCTTGGCCAGACACTGTGTGCCAGAAGGGCAATGACGAAGATGGGGGCAGCACGGGCCAGACTGGCCACGCTTCCCTCACCTGCTTCCTCTGCAGCTCCCACCAAGCCTCTTGGACGTGGGCTCCAGATCTAAGCCATTCATTGTCCCCTATAGGTCATTCTGTCATTTCCCTCTCTGCCTTGGATGCCCCCATGTCCGCTTATCTGGTGGCTTTTATCCGCCTTCACTAGTTCCTGGGAGCTGTCAGGTTCCCAGAAATTCTTCCCGGTTACTTTCCTTCCCATCAAAACTGGGCTGGGTGGCTGCATGGACCTATTCATTCAGTCAGCTGATATCAACTGAGGACCTGCTGTATGCCCAGAGTGTGCTGGGCTCTGGGGGACAACTGTGAGGCCCTTGGCTTCCTGGGGCTTCCTTGGGTGAACCAGGTGTACCCTGAGTTCTCTGTATTAGGCAAGTGTTGCACTCTAGTTCGTAATCTAGCCACTTGTCTGACCGCCCTGCTAGACTGCGGGGCTTCCCGAGGTCAAGACCGCAGGACTGTGGGCACGGTGCCGCGGCCAGGGCTCAACTCACTCCTCTTTTCCTGCCAGCGAGTAGGAGCGGATCCAGGGGTTGGGCACAGACAGCCTGGGGGCCAGGTTGAGGGATGGCAGGAAGGCAGAGAGGGAGCCCTCGAGCAGGTGTGGGTTGCCGCAGACAGCGTATTCCGTCTTGCACATGTAGGGGCACTTGGCAAAGAAGCACACGTTGCTGGCTGGAGGATATGGAGCAGAGAGGAGCAGTAAGGGGAGGAAGCATGCCATCGTCTGGTGCCAGGAAATCCACTAGGAGGGAAGGGAAACCTTGCACTCACAGCTTGGGAAAAGGCAGCAGAAGAAAACATTGCCTTTTCCAGATGTAGGGGCTTGTGAGCATCCTGGGTACCAATTTTCAACTGTCTCAGAGTAGAGACAGTGTGGGACCCAACCTCATTACTTCCCATCCATGAGTAGGATGTTCTTTGCTTGAATGGATCCCTCATGATTCCAGGGAGGCTGGCACTGTGGTCAGCGCCCACACAGGCTGATTAGCAAGTCAAGTGTGACCTCTTCCCAGCCCCGGCTCATCCTGTGTGATGCTCGGGTGGGCCAGGGTGGGAGTGTCTGATGGCTGCACAAACCCACTGCTGGCTGTGACGGTGGCTGCCTTGCCTACCACGTTTTCAGACCTGGAATATTGCTCTGGCCAGCACTCTACCTGGAGAGACAAAGAAAACACTCTGCAGGATTTCATTCTTGGTGACCTCTAGGATCTCCTTGGTGACATTGACTAGCCTCCCCACTGTTGGCGGCACTCGTCGGAAGTCCAGAATCCTGAAAGAGAGGGAGGCCTGGTTAGAGCTGAGTAATGGTCACCATCAGTAATAGAGGGACATTCCCGAGCACCCCCAGCCGAGGGGGCTCTGCAGGGCTGAGCTGACAGCACGGGGGCAAACCTACATCTAAAGGGGTGGAGAACGGATCCTTATCTCATGAAGCCTCCTGGGCAAATCTTCCC